CTGCATATTGAGACCCTGCATCCAATAAAATAAATAAATAAATTACAGTAATAAGTGCTAGAGCTCAGACCTAGAACCTTGGGCATGCCAGGTGTGCAAGGGCTCCGCCACTGAGTGATACCCTAGCCCTTAAGTTCTTCAGCGCTTTTGACCTGAGGTCTCACTGTATGTCTCAGCTAGCCTTGAACTCCCAGACTCCAATGATTTTTCTTTTCTCCAGTGTTCTTCCTACATCAGCCTTCCCAGTAGCCAAGACAGCACATACTACCTTACCTGGCTGTTAATTTTAAAAGGCCAAATTATGTTCTGCTGTATGCAGCCCTCCACCCCCCCCCCAAAAAAAAAAAAGGAAAAAAAGAAAGGGCAAGAAGCTCAAAATGTCCCTGTTAATCCCTTTGAAGCAAACATGAGCTATAAAGTAAATAGATGAGGCTCTGGAGTACAGGTTTGCAAGCAAATACTCCATTATAAAACACCGCACCGGGCCTTGAGGAGAGTCAAATCTGACTTGAGCCAATCCCAGCAGCCTCGCTGCACGCGATCTTCTGGTACTAACGGCTGTGGGATTCGGCCTTTTGGCCTAATCATCCTTAAGAGCCTCAGCCTCTCCTTGGCCTGCCTCGCTGCCCAACGATGTACTCTGGGACCGTGGTCTGCGTCTACAGCCACCGTTTTTCCAAACCAGTGCTCTTTTACCCTCCTACCATCATGCACCGCTGAGGCCCTGCCTGTGGGAATGTGCCGTTTCCAGGGGTTCTACGCACCTGCGTAGAAAGAGAGATCTTGTGTACACATCCTCCACAGGGTTGTGGAAACAGCTGTAAAAATAATGGCATCATTACCGAAGGATTAAAATGGAGCCATCCCAGCCCCAGAACAGGCTCTGAGCTTTCCAGGGGAAATGCACAGCCCGCGTCTGTGGTGGAAAGGACCTCCAGATGTTTTATTAGCGACGTGTTTCAAAACCATCTACACACAAAGAGAGAAACATGCTGGCCCTCATCTCCATGGTTGCATTTTCATAGCTTATCTCCCCAAGCCTTGTTCCACTGCTGCCTCCCATGTGATGTTTTCCTCTTCTTTCCAGGTTTCCAGCGGCCTGGCTGGGCATGTTCCGATGATCTGCGCTGGTGATGACCGAACGACAGGGCCCCAGCTCCTCCTTCCTGGGCCTCAGGCCTCCTGGCGCAAGCGGTGGTTGGACCCACTGAATGCTGCTTGATTCCAGGGGTCCAAATAACCAGGGTGGCACTGGGTTCTCAAGAGTGGGCGTCCCCGCCTCGGCAGCGCATGCTCCATAGGGCAACGCTACAGGGACCATGGGCCTTGCTCAAGGATGACATGGCAACTGGTGAAGAGTTCCATATTAGTGTGAGGGAGAGTGCCCTTTGGAGTGCGAGTCATGTTCTGATCGTGGCAGGAGAATGTCTCTTACCCAAGCTTTTGTCCTTTCCTTACTTTTGTCCTTTCCTTTGCTCCCTTTTTGCTTTTTTCCCCTGCACCGGGAACCAAACTCACAGTGTCATGCTAGCTGGGCAGGTGCTGTGCCACTGAGCTATATAATCCTTGGCCCTTGTTTTGTATCTTTGAAGCAGAGTCTCACTGTGCAGTTCAGGTTGAACTTGAACTCTCCTTGTAGCCCAAGCTGCTTTGAAACTCACAACAATCCTCCCGCCTCAGCCTCCCGAGTGCTGGGATTGCACCCATGCTCCACTGTGCCTGGCCTCTTTCTCTCTCTCTCTCTCTCTCTCTCTCTCTCTCTCTCTCTCTCTCTCTCGTCTCTCTCTTAATTATTTAAGACCTTTATTAACAGGTGCTTGCAGTTTGTTGACTTTTTTGAAAAAATCAAGTTGTAAAATTTTATTGCAAGTTAAAAATGAAGTTCTTAAAAATCTCAACTTGACAGACATGAAACAATTTAAAAACCTTTAAAGGTGTATTGAGAAAAA